CCGCTCCGCGGGGCGGGAGGCGGGGAGAGGCTTGGGGCGTTCACGCCTCGGGACCAGGAAGCGGATCGCGTGTCGGGCCGAAGCGTGCTGGGCCAGAACCGGCGGCGCGACCTTTTCTTAGGTAAGCGGCGAGGCGGCGAAATTAGCACCAGCGCAACAGCTAGGCATAGGGGCACCAACTAGCGAAGTGGCCGGCGCGCAAGGAGGGAGGGGGAGGCCGACGAGAGGAAGGAGGGGCGCTCAGGCACCGAAGAAGTCGACGATGAGCAGCTGGCGGGCGGCAGCAGCCTGGCGCGCCGGGCCGGAACGCGGTGGGCGGCCGTGGCGAACCACGGGGGCAAGGTCGGCGTGGAGCGGCAGCCAGCCAGGGGCTGGGGGAGCACAGCAGACACCGCGTGCATCGTACCGCGGCGTCCCGAGGAGAACGCACAGCACTGAGCCGTACTGGGGGGGGGGGAGCTGCGAAATGCGGGCAGTGAAAGGGACACTGCAGCGTGACCGCCTGAGGCGAGGTGGCCGGAGGGCGGGGTAGGGAGGGAGGCAAGAGAGCGTCCTAGGCGCCCGCGGGCTGCAGGCACCAGCGACGTGGAAGAGACGAGGGGCACCCGGAAGCGGCGACGCAACCGGACCGCTCAGCAAAGGGGACAGTGGCCGCCCAGGGCAGCCAGGGGGCAACTGGGCAGAGAGGGAGGCGCCGGAGGCGGCGGGCATAGCGTCCCCGTAGCCCGCAGGAGCGGGGCGGAACAACACCGCAACAGGAAGAGCCGGCGCGGAGCCGCCGCCAGAGAGGGGGAGCACCGACGGGTGCGGAAGCCGGCTAGCCAGGCAGGGCGGCACACGCGCGGGCGAGCGTGGTGTGCCGGGGGAGCACCGAAGTGGCGCGTGGGACGGCGAACGGGCGACGCGCCTCCCACCCGTAAGGTACGACGCGAGGAGCGGGGGCGGGGAGCACGGGGAGGTGCAGAAGCCAGGCAGCGTCGCTGGGCGGCCGACGCGCGTCCAAACCGGGAGGTGCGTCGCGGGGCGGCGGTGGGGCTCGCCGCGAGGTGCAGAAGCCAGGTGCAGAACGCGAGACCCGACGGTCCAACGCGGAGCAACAGGGAAGCACCAGCGGCGTTACACGCCATCCAAAAGTTCGCCACCGTACTCTCGCATCGGGCCTCTCCCCCTCAGCCCCCTGTATCCAGGCCAGGATCCGTGCCGCCCTTGGGCGGAGAGGCGGCGCTGGCGCGTCGCACGCCGCGGCGCGCCCGCCGCGGATGGCGCCGGGAAGGGACGCTGCGCAAAGCGCTCGCGAGAGAAATGGGAGAGGGAAAGGAGGCAGGAGGGGGGGAGGAGGAGGAGGAGGAGGAGGAGGAGGAGGAGGAGGAGGAGGAGGAGGAGGAGGAGGAGGAGGAGGAGGAGGAGGAAGAGGAGGGACAGAAAGACCAAGAAAGAAAATGACGAGAAAAGCGGGAGAAGAGGACAAGGATGAGGGGGCAGAGGAGTAGGAGAAGGAGGAGGAGGAGGAGGAGGAGGAGGAGGAGGAGAAAGAAAGGGGGCAGATGAAGGGGAAAAGACAAGGGAGAAGGCGGAAACACACCGTTACGACGAGTTGGGCTGCCCCGGCGGAACTGAAGCAGAACTTCATCTGCATGATGGCAAGGAGACCCCCGATGCGCAGGAAACCACGGAGAAGCAAAACGCGAACCAAGCACAGCCCCGCGCCCCCACTGCCCAAGATTCCCGGCCAGCCGCCTCACTGGCTGGCGACCCAATCCTCCTCCTCATCCCTTTACTCATCCTCCGTCGTTCCCATTTCTACTTCCGCCCCCGCCCTCTCAAGGTCCTCATACCCTCCACCTGCTCTTCCCTATCCCTCTCACCCTCCTGCGCCCATTCATCCTTCTTGCAAGAGGACCACTTCACCTTATCACCACGGCCAAATGGTTCGCCTTAGATCATCTCGCCATCTCTGAAACTGAGGTTTGAAACTGCCAACTGCCGAACGGATGGAGAGCGCACCGCTTCAACAAAGTATGGTTTTCGCCGTAACGCCGTGCGCAATCGTCTTCAAAACACCCAGCAACAACACGGGATAACAGCAAACCAACTTTCAACTGCGGCCATCGACTGAGCGCCGCGCACAGTCGCCAAACAACTACAACAATTAAGCGGACGAAGGCAGGTCATTGTTCGATACGTGGCCCGTACTTTACTCGAGCACCGCACGCATGTGTCTAACACGTTCCCAACGTTTACAAGGATGGAACGAAACTCCATTCCGAAATGTGGGAATATCCTGATTGCCGCGATCGTTCGCCTGAACATGTACTAACAGACCCACCAGCCCTCTGGGCGACAAGTGGTCTAACGATGTCTTTCTTTCCGCTTCCACAACCCCTTCTTCCCTTTCGGGGATGGTTAATCCTTACTTCTTGTGATTAAACGCCCCCACATCCCCACCTAGCCGGCCGATAGCAACCCAGCCGTCGCGACCGGCAACAAATCACTGTTTCTCGCCAACATGTCGTCGATATGCGAGAAGTGTAGCAGGGACGTGACGGAATGAACATCGCATGGGTAACTCGTCGCGTCCTACCCATCAAAAACAGTACATAGTCAACGTTTTTGCTCGTCAATCTGGACTTTCTTGTCGTCGACGCTGCGAAACATGTAACAAGAATGGGACGCGGCGCACATCGCGCGCGGACGCCTGGCGAACCCTACGCGGGACCCCCCGTCCTACCTGTCAAAAAATACAGCAACGTCGACGTCTTTCTTGCCAACACGTACTTTCTCCTCGCCGGCGCTGCGAATCGCGTAGCGGGAATGGGACGCGGCGCACATCGCGCGGGGACGCCTGCTCGTCAACATGTACTTTCTTGTCGTCGACGCTGCGGCCCGTCGGGTTGAGGAGCTGGGCGGGCGGCAAGTCATAATGCCTCACGCAAGTGCGGTTCGCCGCCGGCGCGCCCTTTGTCGTGTCCACGTATAAGAGAACTTTGGCAACAGTGACCTTTGGCAACAAAGACGCGGCGCACTTCGCGCGCTGGACATGTTGTCGCCGACGGTGCAACATGAGAGGCCAGAGCGGGGCGCGGCGTACATCGCGCGTGGTTTTGTTTCTCGTCGACGTTGCTCAATACGCGGCAGGAATAGGACGCAGCTCATGTCGCGCGCTGAAACGTCTAGCCGCCCATGATATAAGATGAGCGACAGGCGTCGGACGCGACGCATTTGCTTCTTATGTTGGTGGAGGGCGGGTTGGAGTGGACGGAGCCCTCTGGCTCGCTCGAGCTGGCTAACTTGACCCCTCCCCTATCCCCTCCCCCTTTTTCGGCCCCTGGGACGGCCAATTTTTGACACCCCTCACGAGGATCGTGGCCCCCGAGGGGGGGGGGGAGGGGGGGGGAAATCGGAGACCCACCCTCCTTTGATCGATGGTCTCCAACACGGCCCCAAGAGGCGCTACAGAGCTCCCAAGAGAGCCCCAAGACAGCCCCTCTTGGGCCCCGAAATGGTCTTGCCCCAACACGGCTCCAAGAGGCCCCCGAGCGGCCTCAGAGAGCCCAAGATGACCTCCAAGATGGCTCAGATAGTCCAAGCTGGCTCAAAATGGCTCCCAAGATGCTCCAAACGGCCCCAAGACCGCTCCAAGAGCGCCCAAGAGCGCTCCAAGAGAGCCCCAAGAAGTGGTTTGCGGGCTCCTGAGGGGGAAGCTGAGTTGGGACCCCCCCACCCAATCTAGTAATCGATGGCCTCCAAGATGATCCCAAATAGGGTTCTAAGAGGGCCCCCAAAACTCCCAGAGAGAACCAGCAGCAGCAGCAGCAGCCACCAGAATACCTCTAGATGGTTCCATGAGTCCTCGTCCGCGTTGTCCTCATCCTAGTCCTCGTCCTCCTCGTCCTCGTCTTCATCCGGGTCCTCGTCCTGCTCGTCCTCCTCGGGCTCCTCGGGCTCCTCCTCCTCCTCCTCCTCCTCCTCCTCCTCCTCCTCCTCCTCCTCCTCCTCCTCCTCCTCCTCTCCCCCTCGCCCCCACGCGGCCCCCAGGGATGGCCCGAAGAGGCCTTCCAAGGACCCCCCCTTGCTCCCAGAGAACTCTCGGTTCACCCTGGTTGCTCGCTTTGTTTCCCTAGATGTGTCTCTTCGTCCCGTTTCCCGTCAGCTCTCATGGGCAGGTTTTTTAATGGGCTGGTGGGGTTACACGAAGCGTGAAGAACTACATGGGCTAAAGCGGCTCCGTTCAGATTCGGGCTCTCACTTGAGGCGTACACGAATGGAGTGCGGGTCTGCTTCCACAGAAGACACCCGCTTGAACTTCTCAGACTTACCGCTATGCGTTCAAAATCCTACAACCACTACACGGATGGGGAACACGTCTTTCAAACAACGGAGCTCTCGCTGGACACTTCCGTGGAATTTGTTGCCTTAGCCATTGTGGCACTTCCCCGGGTTCGCTCTGGTCATGCCTCCTCCTCCCCCTCGCCCCTGGAGACACAAAATTGTCCCATACCGCTACTCCACGGACCTCTCCTGGGGCGAGTTCTGGCGAGCATCTGAAGCGAACCCGGCCGTGGCGACGATGGAAGGGCAGCGGTATCGGTATATGTTCGTCCTCTGAGCCCCAAGGCCCGAAACGGTCTCCAGTGGGATCGGCGCGGTGGTCGCTGAGGGGATAAGGGAGTGATCAGTGGAGCCCAGGGCGGGCTATATGCCTGGCCTAACCCAGGTTCTAGGTGGATTACAATTTCCCGAAATGGGTGGGGGGGGGATGGACGATCTGGGCCAGGTGGGCTCCACCCACTTAGCGGATGTGTCTAACCCCCTAAGCTTCCTTGGGTGTTTGTGTCATGTAAGCTAGGTTAGGCCAGATAGAACCCACCTGGGCATCGACTGATAGCCACCATATCCCCTTAGCTCCCCCCCACACCGACCCCAGCAGAGGCCAAAATCCCTGAAGAACGTACTCCCCCCAGCCCCCCGTCCCCGCCAGACCGATTTTAAAAGTGGCCCGCTCGCGAGTTGGTAAGGCAAGGTAGCGCGGCACCTGTCTGCCGGCGGCGAGCGATGGGGGGAAGTGAAAAGGAGAATGCCCTCTCAGAAAACGGCAAGGCTTCACAGAAGGCCCCTGGCCTTCTGAAACAATTTCCGTGTCGTCGGGGACGGCTTCGAAAACTTCTCAAGAAGACTGGAGACTTCTGATGGAGCAGAGACCAAGCGTCCCGGCATTCCTATAGTCCTACCACGATATGTTCTTAGAACCCAAAAATGCTCGAATAACTAAAACAAAGTTCGTAGAACATAAACCTGATGTGCTAAAAACAAGACCGACTCCGCCAGAAATGATCTAAGAACGTTCCGTGGGAACCACACAAAAGGTTATTTGAACATTGTTTGGTAGGGCTATAGCTACCAGCCTCCAACGTATCCCTATACCTAAGAGTGACACGCCCAAAGGCGATGACAATCTTAGGGATTCGCCCTCAAAAATAATGGAATCCCTACGATTGGCATCGTGATGAGGAGGTGCCCAGCATAGGGATAGGGACATGTTCCATGCTGATAGTATAGGCGCGCCAGGACGCTTCGCGACTGCTCGACTCATCGGCGACACGCAGGAGTGACCCTGGGTAAGAGTGACCTTCGGTGCGCGGCTTTTGGGGGGCCGCGGGGGGACCAAATACAGGCGCGGAAGGCGCTACCATCGCATCGCGTTCGGCGATCGGGGAACCCCATTGTGCCCGGAGAAAGGTCACTTTTACGTCTACGTGCCCAACGGTCACTCCGGAGAAAGGTCACTCTTACGTCTAGTCGAACTCACTTCTCCCCTGGGCTGGCCGCCGAGCCTCTGCCGACCGGCAGCAGGACGGCGCGCCGACCGGCCGCCGATCGTGCCGCCCCGCCCGCCGTCCCCTAGGTGTGCTGCGGCGCGGGGGCGCCGCGCCTGGCGGCGAGTCTCCGCCGCACCTCCTGCGTTATCGTGTGCACAAGCACGGGGTGCTCTTGTCGGCCGCGGGCGAGGAGGAGGAGGAGGAGGAGGAGGAGGAGGAGGAGGGCGAGGAGGAGGAGGATGAGGAGGAGGAGGGCGAGGAGGAGCAGGACGAGGAAGAGGAGGAGGACGAGGAGGAGGAGAAGGACGAGGAGGAGGAGGAGAAGGACGAGGAGGAGGAGGCGGAGGAGATGGAGGAGGCCTTCTCAGAAGGCGGCGGGGCTTCGCAGAGGCCCTCGCGCATTCTGAGAGGTGGTTTGTGCCTCCCTGGAAGGCATCGAAAACTCCTCAGAGGGCCGGGGGACTTCCGAGCCTTCTGAGAAGGCCCGCCCCTTCTCACTTCCCCCCCTCGCTCGCCCCTCGCTCGCGGCCGATCTTGGACCTTGCCTTATGGGGGGCGAGACAGGGGGCGGCAAAGAAGCGTGCACCCTTCATACCCCTTCTGGGCACGCGTGGCCTGGTCTTGGGGCCGCCTTGGGGCCGTCCTGGGGTGGCCTGGCCTCTGGTGTGGGGCACCTCCTGGGGCCGTCCTGGGGTCCGTCCTGGGTCCGTTTTCGGGGCCGTCTTGGGCCAAACCCACGAGGGGAGGAGGAGGAGGAGGATGAGGAGGAGGATGAGGAGGATGAGGAGGATGAGGAGGGGGAGGGGGAGGGGGAGGGGGAGGGGAGGGGGAGGAGGAGGAGGAGGAGGAGGAGGAGGAGGAGGAGGAGGAGGAGGAGGAGGAGGAGGAGGAGGAGGAGGAGGAGGAGGAGGAGGGAGGAGGGAGGCCCCTCGAGGCGAATCCAGCGGTGGTTACGCAGCGCCCGCTGCTCGCCGCCCGCCCAGCAGCCCGCCGAGCTGCGGCGCTGCCGCGGGCGCGGGGGCGCCCCTACTGCGCGGTGGCCAGGCGCAGGCGCTCGATGCAGAAGCCGCACTGGGAGCAGAAGCGGAACTTGCCCTCGCCTGCGGTGCCACGCAGTGGGGGTCCCGGGGAGGGGCGAGGGAGGGGCGAGGGAGGAAGGGGAGGGAGGAGGAGGAGGAGGGTGGGCGAGGAGCAGGAAGGAAGGGCGAGGGCGAAGATGAGGACCTGCAATGGGGTGGATCAGCAGCTGGAGGCAGGAGGAGGGATGGGGAAGGATGAGGGAGGAACGAAATAGGAGAAGAGAGGAGGATGAGGAGAAGGGGGGAGGATGAGGAGGGCGATGAGGAGGGAGGAGCAAGGAGGAAGAGAAGCCAGGATCCAGGAGGAGAAGGAGGAGGGGTCCCCTCAGAACCCCACCCACCCAACCCTACATCCTGAAACGTATATTCTCGCAATCCCCTCATGAGGAGGAAGGACAGGATGATGATGGTCTTGATGGTGGCCTAGTACGACGGCGATGATATAGACGATGACAAGTCAAGACGATGACGAGATGAGGATGACCGCGAAGCTTTGTCAGGAGCCGATGGCCCGTGCTAACTGGGCCATGGATCCCCACGACGGTGACGACGACTACCAGGCAGGATTGCGAGGGTAGAGTAGCACGGTAACGCCGCAGCCACGATACCCAAGATCCGCCTAGCCCCAAGGCGACCCATGACCCCCCGAAAGACAGCGCCAGGACCGCCCCGCGCAGGGTCCCCAGGCGGCCCCAACGCCCGTCCAAACGACCCCGAACATGGCTCATTGGAGCCTTCTCGCGAGGGCTCGGTAGAACAACTCCCCCGCCCAACAACATGTCAGATACCCGAACAGGCCCCAAAGAGCCCCCCTAGAGGCCCCCCAGAGAGCCCCGAGAAGCCCTAATGAACTTCCCGACAAGCCTCCAAGAAATTTCCAATACCCCCACCTGACGCGCAACGCAAAGACCATGCACCACGCAATGGAACGGCTGCGCCACTCTACGACCTCTGAGAACCGCTTCCCAGACGGTCCCAAGAAGGCGCTCACGAGCCATTATGCAGACCTTTGTAGACCCCGTTTGCATGCCGATGTTGCGTTGGCACGGTGGCAGCGTTTGTAGCAGACAGCTGGAATATGCTGACGACGCGGATGATGCTGCGTTTGTTGATGAAGGTGAGGAGGAGGAGGAGGAGGAGGAGGAGGAGGAGGAGGAAGAGGAGGAGGAGGGAGGGCGGGAGGACCAGGTGGAGGAGGAGAAAAGGGAGGGTGAGAAGGACAAGGAGGAGGAGGAGGAGGAGGAGGATGAAGGAAGGAGGAAGTATGGAGAGGGGAGCTATACGTGAAGCTATTCGTAAGCGGTTCTTCCCGCAAGGCGCAAGGCAAAGCCACCCCGCGCGGTGGGCCAGCACCCCGCAGGTCATAGTGGCCATCGCGGCCGTGGTGGGGGGCGTGAGGGAGGCAGCGCGGAGGCAGGGAGGGAGGCAGGGAAGGAGGGAGGCAAGAAGAGGAGCAGGAGGAGTGGAGGGGGGAACAGAAAAGAGCCACCAAGCCGCTGCTCGACGGACCTCAACTGTGGCGCGCTCTGGCCAGACTGTCGAGGCGACTCCAGCCGTGATGACGATGGAAGGGCAACCGCATCGGCGTATTTTCCCTTCCATATGTTGTTCCCGTCGTACTTGAGGACCCCATCCCAGATATAATTTCGAGCAATCATAGAAGTCATGGAAATAACTAGTGTGTGCCCGACACGCTGGCGAAGTGTCAAACGACAATCGCCTGAAACGTCGGTACGTTCCTGGTGCTCGGAATTCCTGGTGCTCGGAAGGAGGTCGCTAAAGTAGGTCAGAACATTGTAACCCTGAGTGAAGGAGCAGGAGGAGAGAAAAAGAGGGGTCGGACGCTACGAGCTTTCGCTCCGCGGCTTTCACAAGAGAAGAGAAGAGGAAGGATGGTGGCACGGCTGCGGGTTACGCCCAGCCCCCCAAAGGCAATCACAGCTGGCCTCGCCAGGGCCCCCGAGAAGTCCCAGCTGGACTCGGCAAGCCACCCGAGTAGCCCCAGGCAGTCTCCACACCGCAGCCCTCGGGCGCGGAGCGCTTTTGAAGCGCCGCCAGAGGCGGAACCAGGGTGTTGAGACTGCCCAGGGCTGCTCGCGGGGCCTGCTGGATGCAGCTGCGACTGCTCGAGGGGCCTGCCGAGGCCAGCTGGGACTGCCTGGGAGGGGGCCGTCTGCGCGCAGCCCGAAAAGCCTCACCGGAAGCAGGAGGCCAGAGGGGAGGGAGGCGGAGGAGGTCGAACATCCCCCTCGCCTTTGGTGCCGCACTGGGGGCAGAAGACCACCGCGTGCGCCGTGGGCTGCTGGCCGAGCCGACCCGCTGGCGGCGCCGGCGCGGCGCGCGGCTGGCCCCAGGCCTGTGAAGGGGAGGTAACCGACCTCGAGCACATCCTACCCAGTCCTACCCCTGAGACCCGGACCCCCCTCGCGTCGTGGAGCGGTCACAACGGAGGGTTGTTCTGCATGCTTGGCTTCCGGGGGCCCTTGCTGGGCCCCAGGACGGTCCAACACGACTCGGTATGAAAGCCTGGTCCCCGGGAAACGGTCCAGACCTCTGGGGGTCCACGTGATGAGCCCAAAACATGACGTCGTGGGTATGGGGATTGACAAGCCCAAATGGGATGACAATCGTACAAGCGGGCATGCGCCCTCAGAAACTGAGCCAATCCTTAAGATCGGCATCGAGAGAAGGGGATGCAAATCCAGACGGCCCGAGAGGCCCCGAAGACGCCCCAAGTGGGTTCCACGACGACTTCCAGGAGGCCAACACCATTGATCGTCCTCAAGTTTTCAGGGTTTTCAGCGTTCTCGCATTTCCGGGTTTCCGACGGTCGACGCTCCAAGACGGGCCCAGAAGCCCCCAAGATCGCCCCAAGATGGCCCAGGAGGCTCCCAAGAGGCCCGCAAGACGGCCCCCCAAGGCAGCCCAGGAGGCCCTTGGACGCCCCCACGATGGTCCCAGCGACCTCTAAGACGGCCCTCAAGCGCCCAAAGAGGGACCCACGACTGCCCAGGATGGGCCCAAGACGGCCTCGGAGGCCCCCAAGAGGCCCCCAAGAGGCCCCCAAGAAGTCACGAAGGTCCTAGGAGACCCCCAAGAGGCCGCCAGGCACACCCAAGATGCCCCTTAGAGCCCCCCTCAAGGCTTCCAGGAGGTCCCCAAGAACCCCAAGAGGGGGCCTCAAGAGGCCTCCCCTTCTTCCTCCTCCGCCCTCTCCTCCCTCTCTGCCTCCTTTCTCGTCCTTTCCCAAGTGTTCCACTAAGGGGTTCCACGACGGCTGGGGAAATCAGACGGTGAGGGCATTGGATAGGGAACCCTTGGATAAGGAATCTAAGGTCTGCAAGACAGTGGAGCACCAGTTGAGGCTTGGCCATGGATATCACCATCGCCGCCCTCACCAAATAATGAATCCAGCAGGGCCTGAAGCCTCCTGGGCACATTCCTTAACGAAAGCCCCCCATAGTAGTCCAGTAGTAGATGGCCTGATTTCGGCCCAACGTCTGGCCGCAGGGGCGTTTCCAAACGGCAGGGGGCGGCGGTGATTCGCTGCAAGCGTTTTCGATCACTCCCCCCTACCGTCCTCCCATGTGTGCGGGTAGGGAAGCCAGGGCTTTCCACCCGAGGCATCATCCTGTAGGACTTGTGGGACCTGTGGGACCTGCGCGGGCCTCTAGGACATGTGGCCCTGTGCGACACATGGGGCCTGTGGCACCTGTGGGACCTGTGCGACCTGTGCGACATGTGGGGCCACTGGGGCCTGTGAGACTTGCGGGGCCTCATGTGAGGCTCGTGGGACATGCGCGACCTAGGGGGCTTTGACACCAGTGGGCTCTGTGGGACCTGTTGGACCTGTGCGACCTCTGGGAACCACTGGGCCCTGTGAGTCTCGTTCGGCCTGTTGGACTTGTGGGACCTGTGTAACTTGTGCGCCCCTAGCTCCCGCCCGAAACTTCCTAGAAATTCACTCACAAACGAGGCTCCCGCTCGAGATTTCCACGCGATTCGCCCCCTTGCACTGGACTGTGCCGCGCTAGCCGTACGCCGACCCGCGCGCAAGCGAGAAAAAGTGCGAATTCAAGCAATCAGTACCAATGCGCCGGCTAAACAGGGCAATGGGGGAAGGAGGATGGGGGGGACGAGGAGGGGAGAGAAATGGCAAGCAACACGTGCATGGCAGTCATAGTGCGGTGCCTTCCGGCCGGGGCTCTCGGGCCGAAGCAAAAAAAACAGTTCGCATCTATTTTTCTGGGGGTTCTACCAAGATCCGAATGACCCTCAAGGCGAAACAAACTCCCATTCCTGAGGGTCGCGTACGTGCGCCATGGTATTTACTTTCTGGTGACGTGTGCAAAGATCACATTGTACAAGCGCGTGGCCCATTTATCTTATTCGTTCCCCCTCCTCCGATTGAGCAACGACATGGTGGAGGGGACGCTGTCATTTTGGAACGTGAGCTTGTGGATGAAGTCATCATTGGAAGCTCGTTCAACCTCCCCAAACCATGAAAGTTGATACCCCAGTAGTTGCAGTGTGTATTGTAAATGACCAGACCTGCTGACTTGGAGATGCGAGACACGAGGACTGATGGAATACTTGATGTTATCAAGAGGCGCCTGGTTTGGAAACCATTCGGTCGCCTGCATTCCGCTTTGTTTAACCAAACCGTGCTGAGACAGCGCATGACTTTGGACACGATGCAAGACTAGAGTACTTCACTTTTCCATTCTGCACAAATTGACGCATGTTTCCATGCTAAGGAATATCTGCAAAACTCCGTCCATGCGGCGCCAAATCTTCTGTTCAACTTGCTGCTGGCGCTGCCTGTTCTGTACAGCGTGGCACCGCCCAAGGTGTCTTTCGCAGGGACCAACTTGCCTGCCGGAGTTGTCAGCTGAACTTGGCAACCAGTCGGCATCAGCGGAAATTTGCCCCAATGGAGGTCCATTCCAACCCGACCTCCGGCCAAGGAAACTGCATCAAGGAATTCGTGTGTTCTTGCGAGCGCCCAACAAGCAACGTGTCGTCTGCATACAACAACACCGACATAGACCCCGCCGCTTCCACATCTGATGTTGCCACCGACCCCAGGTTGTCCGCTGCGTCGTTCAGTACCACCGTAATCACCATGATGAACAAGAGAAGTGATAAAGGGCAAGCCTGGTGAGATCCCAGATCGTTGTCGTCGTTGTCGGGATGTCAACAAAAGAAAGAGCGCGTTCTGTGGTCGTTTGGAGGGGTGGGGGGGGGGGATGCCGATCCCCCCCCCCTCCCGTGACGGAGGGGGGGGTTCAAATCCCCCCCCCCCCCCCTGCTTCCCCTCTCCTCGGGTTGGCCCTTGCGTGGGCGGCGGCTGGCAAGCGACAGTGGCGGGGGGCGACGATTTCCATTTCTGGGCTGGCGCCGGCCGGCGCCTGCGGCGGCAGGCGGCGGTGGACGGGAGCGTCGACGAGGACGACGGTGGTGGTGGTGGTGGTGGTGGTGGGTTGTGTGGTGGTGGTGGTGGTGGTGGTGTGGTGTGGTGGTGGGTGGTGGTGGTGGGTTGTGGCGGTGGTGGTGGTGGCGGTGGTGGTGGGGTAATAATGGTTGTGATGTGGTGGGTTTTGTGATGGTGGTGGTGGTGATGGTGAGTTGTGGTGGTGATGGTGGTGGTGGTGTGGTGGTGGTGTGGTGGTGGTTTGTGGTGGTGGTGGGTTGTGGTGGTGGCGGTGATTTGTGGACGTTTGTTGTGGTGGTGGTGGTGGTGGTGGTGGTTGTGGTGGTGGTGGTGGTGGTGTGGTGGTTTGTGGTGGTGGCGGTGGGTTGTGCTGCTGGTAGTGGTGGTGGTTGTGGCGGTGGTGGTGGTGGTGGTGTGGTAGATTGTTTTGGTGGTGGCGGTGGTGATGGTGAGTTATGGTGGTGGATGTGGTGGTGGTGGTGGTGGATATGGTGGTGGTGGTTCTGTGGTGCTGTTGGTGGTGGTGGTGGTGGGTTGAGGCGGTGGTGGCGGTGGTAGTGGTGGCGGTTGCGGTAGTGGTGGTAAGTGTCGCTGCGTCCCCGCCGTCGCCGGCGCCAGCGCCGGCGCTGCTGGCCGCCGCCAGCGCTGGCGCCGGCGCCGGCGCGAGGGTGGGGGGGCGTTGAAACACCCCCCCCGGCTCCAGGGGGGGGGGTTTAACCCCGCCCCCCCCTGGGCTGCGCCTCTGGTCATCGTCGCTGCGTCCCTGCCTTGGGCGCCGCTGACGGCGGCCGCCAGCGCTGGCGCCGGCGCCGCAGGGGGAGGGGGCGCCGGCGCGAGGGGGGGGGGGGGGTTTGACCCCCCCCCCCCTGCAAGGGGGGGGGGGGGGGCGGCGGGGTTCGAACCCCCCCCTTTGGAGGGGGGGGTGGGTTCAGGAAGGGGGGGTGGGGGGGGAGGGGGGTCCCCCCTCCGGGTTTGATCGACGTTGCCGAATGATGGGGGGGGGGGGGCACCCCCTGGTTTGAAACGGGCCGCTGAATGTTCTCCAGGCAAGCGCCCGTGAAACGCACTCTCTAAAACAGAAAACCACCAGCTACGTGGAAGTGCTGGTCGGCGTAGATGTCGCTGATGAGCGCAAGCATTCTATGTGGGACCCCGAATCTCCGCAATGCGAGCATCATTGCGCCCACATGGATTGAACCACGTGTGTTTTATACAAATCCAGCGCGACAGAAGCAACTGCACCTCCCTGTGCTGCACGAGCCAAGTCGATGCTCCTGCGTACCGCACGAATGCCATCTGACGCCCCTCTGCTCCTGCGGAAGCCACATTGCGTTGATGTTAGCCTGTCCTCAGCCCCCGCGTCCTGTAGTCGCTTAAGCGGAAGGCTCGCCAGTAACTTGTAGGCGACGCAGAGAGGCTTATCGGCTGGTAATTGTTGCAGCTATCGATGGCGCCCTTGTTTTTGCTATAGATTACTCGCACCTCCTGCTTCCATTCTTCTGGTACTGCACTGGCCTTCCAGCATGCATTGCATAAGTTGGCGAGCCGATTGATGCTGCCTCCAGGTGTCCGCGCCGCTGATTTCCAATATTCCTCGGGGGCGTTGTCTGGCCCCGCAGCCCTATTCAATTTCAACTTGTCGACTGCTCTACCCACCTCTTGAGACGTGTAGGCAAGTTCTTCCACAGGGAGCGGGGGTCCCAAGTGGTTTTCATGTATTCAGGTGGCCGGTCTTACTCGCCACTGCACTTGCTCTCTAAAATCTGCCATCGCATCCGCCGTCTGACAACTCTCCACCACAGTCCCGCCAAAGTCCCGCAGCCTGCCATGCCTGCGACGCTTCGGGAAGCAAGGCTTTCGCATCGTCTCCCATGCCCCGGAATGATGGCAGCATTCAGCCATTCTGATTTGTCCTGTTTGCATGCCTTCCGGACATCCTCCAACAGGCGCCTCTCCGCGGGTTTGTCGTTCGAGTTTCGGGCAGCGCTCCTTTGCTGGATCAGATGCAACGTGGGCTGGAAAATCCACGGTGTCGTGGCTTCCAGCTTTGCGGCAGTACTGTCGTAGCTGCCGCTGCTGCTGCTGCTGCTGCTGCTGCCCCTTCCTCCCGCAGCTCCTCCACTCCCGTCTGCACCTTATCCGCTGATTCACGAAAGAATTCCCAAACAAAACTTCACTGTAGAGCCGCTTCGCTTCAAGATCCGGGATAACTGTGTTGTCTCTCTGCTGCGCCGTTGTTGGGGGCTCACGGTAATCGAGGTGCTCGAGGACACCCGTCAACAGGTAATGGTCAGATGCTAAAGCGGCTCCCCGGTGGCTGATCGGCCCTTGCGTGCGAGTGAGAGTAGCAGCATCGCAGACTAGAATATCCAATATGTTGTCACTCTCCTCCGTAATGTTCCCTATAGCTGCCGCGCCGGCTTTCATGAACGCGCTGTTCTGGTTCACAGGCTGGTCAACAAAGGTGCTCGCTATAAGTAGGTTTAGCCCAACGCAGAGCTCTACTCGGGGTGTCCACCTCGCGTACAGACTGCTCGTCTTCCCCAGGTGTGCGTTTCGGGCGACATATTGTTCCCCAGCGTCTGCAGGGCCGACTCTCGCATTAAAACCTCCTGGAATCATCCTGCCAGCGTAACCCAAACATGCTTTGAAATGTGCGTCCAGACTGCGTAACACTGTCTCCTCTCTGGCAGCGGCTTGAGATTGTGTGAAACGTAAACAAATAACAAACCAAACATGTTGCTACCAAGTCTAAGCTTCAGTTTCAAGATCAGAAAGTGCTTGTGAGTTTGTATGTTTGGCACTAAGGTGGGGGAAACAACAAATCCAACTATAGCCCATTCGCTCATCTGCGTCAGCCCCTGATGATACTACGTAGTACCCGGTTTGCTCGTAATCGTACTTTATCTGGTTGAGTGTGCCTGGTTTCCTGCTTGCACAAAACATGAATACCGTAAGTTCCCATGAGTCGTATGAGCCCGCCAGCTTCACATCCGTCAGCCAACGAAAGTTCCTCCATGTAGCGTAGCGCAGGTTTCCCACCATTATAACGTTGCCGAGGTAGCTGGCCTCTTCGCCAGTTCCGCCCGCGACTGGGTGAACCGATCGTGTATTGCGCAACGTTGGCTGCAAGATGTCTTCGCACTTGCCTCCCAACCGCGCCGTTGGGCAGGTGGTATCTTTGCCCTTCCCGCCCAGATGACGATCCCGCGATTGAGAACTGTCCAGAGAAATGGCGGCGTCACTTGCCTTTCCCGGCCCCTTTGCTCCCGCGAGCCCTGCTTTGAGAGAGGCGCTCTCTGGCATTTTTCTCCACCCGTGCCCACTCCAGTGGGGATTGGAGTTCTGCCCAGCTTCCCAAATCAGGGTCCAACCAATTGATTCTCAGAGTGTCCGCCTCCGCCGTCGCACGCACGATGGGCTTGCCGCCAGCTTTGACGATGCCCGCCTCCGCATCCACCTTGATGCACCGCTTCTTGAACCCCCACTGCGTGAGAACACTACGTCGGCCCAAGAAGAGCGAGGCGACAACCCGCACCTCGATCGTGGAGTGTAAATTGCACCACAATCTGCTGCTTTCCAACCTCGTTATCAGCGACTCTGTCGAAAACTCATGAAAAGGTTGGCTGGTTGCGCCGCTCCTGGGGTATGGAAATTCGGCGAACACTGAATCCCTGAAGTTCTCGTTCAGGGCACCCTTTCTATAGATCGTAAGAAGAAGTAGATCTACATCTTTGAGTGCCTTGTAGATCCATGTCTCTGGTCCTCCTAAGGACTCCTGGGGGAGGCCTCCAAGCACTACTGTCGCAATGCCCGTCGCACGTGATGCAGATGTCGTTGATCGCGGTGCCGTGCTGCTTTGAACTTGTTGTAGGGTTTCCTGGAGATCTGCATGTTTTGCCGTAGCTCGCCATGGGTGCTGTCGATTATTCCCGCGATGTTGCGATGTCATCCTCCAGGCTGGTGGTCCTGATATTGATCCCCTCCATCTCCGCTTCCATCGTGGCCTTGAAGACGTGCGAGGCTGTGTTCATGAACTTGTAGGCCCTCATGACAGGAGGCATGCATTGGCAGAAAATGTGGTGCATGGTTGCTACAGTGAGCGGTGCATTTGAGTTGTGGGTGTCCTCTTCCTTCGGAAGGTCGTCGAATTCCGTCTGGTACGTATTTGAATGGACGCCGCTGCCGCCTCCAACAGAGCGTGCTGATGAGCGGCTTGTTGGGCAGCGACGTCGGCCTGGGCGGAGTTCATGGCGGCACTTGGGCTACCAAGGCGCGGCTGCTTGAGTGCGCTATTCGGCGGCGATGTGGCCAGAGCGTAAGCTTCGGGACATTCAGGCCGCTTCGGTCCTCCACCAGCCGGTCGCACAGAGCTGCCTCCTTGAAAACCATCAGATCGTGGTTGCAGAACGGCCTTCACGGGCGTGCTGGGCGTCCGAGTTGCCACGATTGATTCACAATGCGTGCACAGAAAGAAGCAGGAGGAAGTAAGAATGGATGTGAGTGAAGTGTGGAGAAGTTGGATTGTACCATATGGGGAAATATGGGGATCGCTTGCTGGAGCTACCCATGCGGTTGAGGAAGTGTCTTGGCTTGAGCTACTGCTTGAGCCAGTGCTTGATCCAATGCTTGGGCCAATGCCTGAACCCTTGGGGCGCTCAAATATTCACGATGCCTGCTACAATAAGCTGGTGACCCCGTTCGGATTCGAACATGAAGGTGGGGACCTCATAGGGAGGTGCCCACGCTCGAGACCCCCTTGCGGTTCACCAAGCCTGACAAGTCCGAAAGTAACGACAGCTGCGGGGTTTGAATGACCCCGCTCGGATTCGAACATGGAGGTGGGGACCCCATCGGGAGGGGCTCCCGCTCAAGACGTGCTCGAGATGACCTCGCGATGTACTCACGAGCGAGGCTCCCGCTCGAGACTTCCTCCAGGTTCAGGCCTGAAGAGCCCAGGAGTGACGCCAGTTGTGGTGTTTGGATGGCCCCGTTCGGACTTGGAGGTGGGGACCCCGTAGGAAGAAGGGTCCCGCACGAGCCGCTCTCAGGATTCGCTCACAGACCAAGCTCCTGCTCGAGACTTCCTCGGGATGAATGTGTGAGTGAGCGTGGAAGTGGGCGAGTGCATGCGATGATGCTGCTGATGATCATGAAGGTGGTGGCGCTGCTGCTGCTGCTGGATGGCGGTGATGATGCTGCTGATGACGATGATGGTAGTAGGGATGCTGCTGCTGCTGGCGATGATGATGCTGATGCGAATGCTGATGATGAGCATGGTGGTAGTGATGATGATTGCCATGATGATGCTGCTGATGATCTTGATGACGAAAATGATGATGATGCTGTAGACGATGATGGTGCTGCTGCTGATGATGATGAGGATGATGATGACAATGATGCAGATAATGGTGATGGTGATGGTGATGATGATGGTGCTGCCGAAGATGATAAGGATGGTGCTGATGATGCTGATGATGATGATGATGATGATGATGATGATGATGGTGGTGATTGAAGGGTGATGGGAGGAGGAGAGGCGGGTGATATTCCTCACGATGGGAGAGGAGGAGAGGGGGATGAGAGGATGAGAGGTGACGAGACTCCCACGTTGGATGCAAGGAACATCTATCAAGGATGGAGCGCGGTTTCTTGAAAAAAATCGCCCTGGCACCGCGCACAGTCGCCTTGAACTTGGACGGCCCAGGGACGGAGGACGGCTCCATCTCAAACATGGGTCTCTCCTTCTGTGATTCTTCGGACCTGCAGGGCCAGAAGCTCGCACCTGTGTAACAGCTGCACGGATGGAGGGTGGGTCCTTGTCAAGCCGGGGAGCTCTCGCCTGATATTTCCTCGGCGCAGCTGGCCAGAAGTGTGAGCTCGTGCAGTAAGACGGATGGTGACATGCTTCAACACAGGGGAGATCGCTGGACACCTCGCCGGACCGTGCTTTTGCGTTCCATTTTCTTCGCTGAAAGGATACAGTCGGGGCGTTGACCTAAGGAACCCTAAATAAGGAACGAGGCCCCTTTTTCCCTTAAGTTAAACTTCGATTTCCGATCGAAAACATAAGGAAAACCTGAGGCAAGCTGTGAAACACTTCAGGAACGCGGAGCCCCTCCCCAACCAAAAGGGTTCCTTCTTCAGGGCCCCGACTGTACACCGCAGGTCCTTTTCCAAATGGTGTTCCCACCTCAACGCCAGTCCCACAGGGCGCTTGTATTTCAATGGGCAGTTCTTCTAGTGGACGAGGATGTGCGTCGGGACGCACAAGTAGGGGACGTGGGACGGGATGGTGTGTGACAGCTTCGCTGATGCATCTTGGGTTCGCTCTGGTCCCCCTCTTCCTTCTCCTCCTCCTCCTCCTCTTCCATTTGGCGGCGAGCGAGAGGGGGAAGCGAGAAGGAGAAGGCCTTCTCAGAAGGCTCGGAAGTCCCCCGGCCTTCGCCTTCCCCGGAGACAGAAACAGCTTCTCAGGAGGCGTGAGGGCGTCTGAGAAGTCCCGCCGCCTTCTGAGAAGGCCTTCTCCTTCTCACTTCCCCCCCCTCACTCGCCGCCGATCCACGCCCCTCCTCTCGCAGGCCTAGAGATTGATACCAACACCAATATCGGCGCTGTTCCTCCACCGAGGAAAGAAAGATCCCGATCTCGGTGATGGTGGTAATATTCTGGCTTCCAAGGTGGCCGAACTACTACCACCAACACCGAAAATCTAGGATCACCTTCCCCCTGTGGAGGCAACCCCCTGTCTTGGTGTTGGTGCCAATTTCCAGGCCTCCGATCCTCCTCCAGGGCCTGAGGCGGCGGTGCGGGCGGCATCACTGCCATCAGCGAGATCTGCACGGGCCGCTGCGCCACGGCCGGGGCCGGTGGGACCCCCTGGCAGGCAGGGGGATCACATTGGGAGGGAGCAGAGGAAAGACATCAATTTTAGTTGACGAATGCTACAGTCGGGGCGTTGACCTAAGGAACCCTAAAGAAGGAACGAGGCCCCTTTTTTCCATAAGTTAACCTTCGGTTTCCTGTCGCGGAGACCTAAGGAAAGCCTGAGGCAAGCTGTGAAACACTTAGGGAACACGGAGCCCCTCCCCATCGAAAAGGGTTCCTTCTTCAGGGCCCAGACTGTATCTGACGGGGAGGGGTGGAAACAAAGGATCAAACAGTGGCATGAGCATGCACCATCGGAGGATCACGCGGAGGGCCGTCGGAAGCTGGATATGGTGGGGCACTCCCAGGGACCGATGGCTCCGGCGTGAAGGGGAGGGGCGTGGGTAGAAGTGCATTCCTCGAAAAAGGACCATGTCTACCGCGCGGACTTCTTGGATCGGCGCTGGACCCCCCTTGGCGGCGCCTCGGGAGCCGCCCCTGGTGCGCTCCGCGCGTCAGGGAGGGGTATCCAGTGCCAATCCGCGCCGCCCTACAAAAAACGTGCCGCCCTCCGGAATGGCGCCGCCGAGGGGTGTGCAGCGCCGGTCCAAGAAGTCCGCGCGGAACTGCGAAAGCTTATGTTAGTGTCGCGTTTCTTCTTTCGATCTTCCTCCCTGGGGGGCAATGTTAGGGGGGGCAGCTCAGGGGGGGGGGGGGGAACATTGAGCTGGAATACATCACCGCTGGATCGGCGATCGGTCCTAGACTACCAAACCAAACGTTCCTGGGCGCGGTGGGCTATCAGGCCCCTTATCGGCGATGAATGGGCGATTGGGGGTTGATGCCCTTACCCCTGAGCCTATCCCCTCCCTGACGTCGCCTCTGAGGATTGGGGAAGAATAATCACATTGGTGATCCTACTCGCTTGGCCTTCGGATCATACCCGGCGAGGCGCAGCTGCTAGAAAGCGTCATCCCCCCATGGCGTTGCCCGTGCTCAAAAACAGAAGTCGATCCCTGTACGTTTGTTCGGGTGCTTTGCACAGAATCGGATCCAGCCGCGTCCATAAGGACGCCCCAGGACGATCAAAAACCTCCACGGACCGAACCCCGAAAGCCGCCAAGAACCCACGAAAACCCCCGAACACCACTAAGTAACCTCGACCCCTTACGAATTAATCTCCCATCCCTGTCGTTGCCGCTGTTCAGAAATCAAAAAGCGAGCCCTGGACCTCTCGTGAGGTACATTCTGCACAACATTTCGAGGCGGAACCAGCCGAAACTACGAGGGCGCCCCAGGACGCTTGAAAGTCCCCAAAGAGTGAGCCCCGATCCTAAAACCTCGAACCTCTGAGCCCATCCCTCCCCTGAATTTGGGGGAGGGGGGGGGGCGAGCCTGGGCCTGGGGTGCCGCCGCACCGGGCGAGTGCCTGGGACCCAGGGCCTGCGGCGAGGCGCAGCTGCTGGAAAGCGTCCCGCGGCCAGAAAACCGCCGACAACCCGGCGAAGACCCGAGAAAACGTCGAAACTCGACCTTTTCTCGTTGAGACCCCGGGCTTGGGGCGAGGATTCGCGTGCAATCCTCCCCCCCCCGTCCTCGCCCTCCTCGCCCTCCTCCCCCACCTCCTCCTCCTCCTCCTCCTCCTCCTCCTCCTCCTCCTCCTCTTCCTCCTGATCCTGCTCCTCCTCCTCTTCTATTGTTCCTCCTCCTCCTCCTCGACCTCCTGCCCCTCTTCCTCCCCGCCCTTCTGTGGGGCGACCCTGGGCCTGAGGTGCCGCCGCGCCGCGCGAATGACCAGGACCCAGGGCCGGACCGCCGCCGAGCAGCCACAAGTCCTCTGGTGTCGTGGCAGTGACGTGCACGGGCCCGCTGCCAGGGAACTGCCGCATCGTCCTCAGGGAGACGGAGGGAGGAATGAGGGGAGGGAGGGACGAATGGGTGGAGACGAGGGGGGGGGGAGAGGAGGCGAGGGAGGGGGGAGAAAAGGGAGGGAGGGAGGGAGGGAGGAGGGAGGGAGAGGAGGAGGGGGAAAGGAGAAAGGAGGGAGGAAGAGATCGCAACAGTTGAACAAGCTCCTGCCGCGCCCACCTCATGTGGCGAGCAGTCCTTCTTGGCGCGTTCTGGTAGGACCCCCCAACTGGAAAGCAAAGACAGGAAGTGGTGATCAGGGCGAGACCTGCCCCTTCTGAACACCGGCGGACAGAGAGACGCTGGCTACACACACACGCACACACACACACACACACACACGATTTGCCATGCGCGATACGGAGCCCGCACAATGGTGGCGCTGCCTTGGGCCCCCCCCCCGCAGCGGCCCAATCAGATGGCAACGCCACAGGAGCCAGCTGTTCGAGGAGCCCACTGGGAGAAGAGGGGCGCCAGCACTGGTGTGCCGCGCGTCGAGCAGCAAAGTTGGCCTGGAGCATGTCCTGGATGGGGCGCCCCGAGGGAAACGGCAGGGCGGACGGCCTGCCGGAGACCGTCCCAGGCAGGTTGTGCTCGGTGGAACCTGTCGAGCAGAGGAGCGGACTGTCCCCGAACGTGCTGGAGCGATTGGGCAAGGTGGTCGGCTCGCTGATGCAGCGCGATGGTGCCAGTGAAGAGCACCGCCTCGCGCTCGCCCTCTGGCTGGCGACTGGCCGCCGAGAGGCGATGCGTGAAAGTTTGCATGCGGTCTGCTCGCTGGTCTGGACGCCCGAGATGGGTACGGAAAGAATGGGTACAATGCCCAACAGCAGTTCCTGCTCATTTTGAACAGGATTCGCTGTCCACGCCGCCGCGGCCTGTCCACTCGAGACAGATGGCCGCCTGCCCAACAGCGGCCGCCGTTGGTTTGGGACAACATTTGTTGTTGGGCATTGCTCCCATTCTTTCCGTACCCATTTCGGGCGTCGAAAGCTGTGATGGGCCTGTTTTCAACCACCACCACCACCATAAGTTGGGAGGAGGAGGAGGAGGAGGAGGAGGAGGAGGAGGAGGAGGAGCAGGAGCAGGAGCAGGAGCACGAAGAGGAGGACGACGACGACGAAGAGGAGGAGGAAAAAAGGACGACGACGAAGAGGAGAAGGAGGAGGAGCACTCCCTCCAACTTATGGTGGTGGTGGTGGTGGGAAACAGGCCCCTCAAGCTGGGCCCCCGTCGCACCGAGCCCTGTGCCGGCGACGGATCTCGGGCCGCGCGGCGGCGCCCGCGGGCCGGGGCCCGGGTTAGGCGCGGGGTGCCCCGAGGCGGGCGTTCCGCCAGCGCAGAGACGCACTGCGGGAGGTTTCCCGCAAGTCATGGCAGGGCCTGGCGCCGAGGGCCCGGGGATGACGGGATGCCTCGAGCCTCGAGGCGGGAGCTCTCCGCGCGCAGGACGCACTCTTGAGGGCTCCCCATGCGAAGTCAAGGGGACCCCCGGCAAGCAAATGCATGGGGGGGACTTAAGGATGACGAGGAGGAGAAACAGAAGGAGAAGCGGGAGAAGAAGGAGGAGGAGGAGGAGCTGGAGGAGGAGGCGGAGGCGGAGGAGCAGGGGCGCAAGCAGCATGGGGCGCAAGTAGCACAGGAGGAGGAGGAGGAGGAGGAGGAGGTGAAGGAGGAGGAGGAGGGGCAGGAGGAGGAGGACGAGGAGGAGGTGGAGGAGAAGGAGGAGGAGGAGGAGGAGGAGCGAAGGGGCAGGGGGAGCACGCAGACTGACAGGGTCCGTCGCGCGAAGCGCTAACGGCCACAGCAGTGGGGGCAAGACCTCAGGCCCCGCCCCGTGCCGGCACGTCGCTCACCCCGTGCGCCCAGCACAGCAGCTCGGCGGGGAGAGCAGCAGCACAGGGCTGTTTCTAATACATAGGATGTTTAAACACACAGTTTTTTTAATGCATGCTTAATGTATGAATGCATGTATGCATGGCCTCATCGTTGTTTTTAATACTAAATCCCTGCATTTCTAATACATGATCCGCACGCGGAGAATGTATTAAAAACGGCATTGTACAGACAGAAGACGAGCTGGCGGAAGCTTTAGCAGCTCGTACGGGGCAAATTGGCGGCGAACGATGGGGGGGAAATGATGAGGAGAGGGCCTCCTCAGAAGACGGCAGGACTCCTCAGAAGCCCTCGCGCCTTCTGAGAAGTCCTCTTTGTCTTCGGGGAACGGTTCGAAAACTTCTCAGAAGGCCGAGGGACTTCCGGACCTTCTGAGAAGGCCCGCCCCTTCTCACTTCCCCCTCTCGTTCGCCGTCGAGTAAAACTATAAACGAATGTGACGCCCGAGCTGCACCCAATGCACCTCGGGATCTCCAACCTAAAGCCTCCTCTGCGCCCGAGATGGTCTCACGACGTCGTAAGTCAGCGGGGTGGCGGTTGGTCAAAAACCTATGAATGTGAGATGCCCCGCGCCTGCTGCAGGGCTGAGGGGGGGCAAGCATCCAACAGGGCAGAGACCCTGCCAGTGGACATGGCTCCGCAGGAAAGGCAAACGACGACGCAGCCCGGGGACACCACTATCTCGTGGCCTCGGGCGCGCCTGGGTGGGATGTCGCCTGCCACGGGCAGGGCGAGCTGGGGTTGAGAGCTCGGAGTGCACGACCCTCCCCCTGGGCCCCAAGGACGCGTCTGAACTTCGGCGGCGGCTCCCCCGAGCCCCGAGGATCAGCGGAGGCAAGGGAAGGGGGGCGGGGCGCGCCCCGAAGATGCACACTGACCCGCGCAGGTCGCCGACGTCGGCGGGCGCAGAGCTGACCCCCCCCTCTCCCTCGATCACGAAGGGGAGGGGCAGACAGACGGGCGAGGAGGAGGAGAGGAGGAGGAGGAAGAGGAGGAGGAGGAGGAGGAGGAAAGGCAGGAGGCGTAGAGGGGGAGAAGAAGATAACCAACGCGAGCGACTCGGCGGACCCCGTCAATTCCCGGCCCCGCCTCCAACGACTTGGCGAGGGAAAAAGCGAGGGCCGCGCGCAGGCGGGGAGCGGGACTCCAAACCATTGTTGCGCGGCGAAGCGGCGGAAGGCGCTCGGGCGGCCAGGTTTCCGAGGAGCGCGGCGAAGCCGAAGCACGCGCCGCGCCGAAGGAGCGCTGCCACTTTCACGCGCAAGCTGCGCAACGCTTGGGGGAGGACCGATTTCGCGCGCTCCCACGGGGCCCCGCTGCCGCTGCGCGGCCCATGCGATCCACACCGCACGCGAACGACGCATGCGCCACCCCGCACGCGGGAACGCCACTTCCAGACGATGTGTTTGCGCAGCGCTCAAGCGAGAGCGACAAATTCGTTCGCTCGCGCGTCGGCGAATTGGCGGGCGAGAAATGTGCGCCGCGCCGAGGAGGGAACGAGTTTCTTAGGACAAGTGAACGTGGCGCCGAGGCGAGAGCGTCAGCTCGCCATTTCTCGCGCGATTTGCGCCCCGTCCCCCTCCTGCCGCGCAATTTGCAAAGTCGACGACAACACGTCCATGGTGAAAAAGGTCCCCAAGTAAAACGATGTTGACAAGGAAGAGAGGGAAGGGAAGGAGGAATATGAGATGAAAGGGGAATTGGAGAAGAAGCCGGCGGAGGAGGAACAGGATGGGAAGGGGAAGGACGATGAAGATGTGGAGGAGGAGGAGGCCGACCATCCTCATCGAGCGAACTGCGGCCCATCATTATGATCGTAGGGGGTAGGATCATTCATCGGCGGAGTGAGCGCAGATGACGAGGAAGATGGGGACGAGGCTGCGTCGTCCTGCCGTGGAAGGCCGCACAAAACGCGTGCATCACCGCCGCACTGGTGAAGTTGACAAAGCAGCTCGTGGTGCTGTCGCCTGGGGGGGCGGCGAGCAGCGCTCGGCAAATGCCCCCATCCCGCTCCTGCGCAGACGGCACCTGTACACCACCCCCGTGCCTGGCCAGTGCCATCCTGGGTTTTGCGATGGTGTGGGTGCCCTCCTGGCCGAGGATGCACCGTCGCAGTCTGGGGACGGCTCTGGCCAAGACCGGTGGTGGTGCTTTTTGAGGAGCAACCTCGGGCGAAAAACGCTGCTGCCGCAAGCGCCCCGAAAAGGCGCCCGACTCAGTCGGGCACCTTGGGGAGCTGCGCGATACGCCGCGCCGCCTGTGCATCCTCTCCTCCCCCATCCCGATACTCCTACCGAGCTTTGCCATCGACCCTCGAGGACCGAACGGGGGAACTGTTGTCCGGTGCCTCCGGCAAGCCGGGAGCGCGCTCGGCACTCTTGGGAGGCTCTGGCGGCCTCTGGGGACCTCCCAGGGAGGCAGAATCTGAGCTTCTGGAGAAGTCCGCCGCAGGCGCCAAACTTTCACAAATTGCACAACGAGCCCGCCGCAAGCGCCGACCTTTTCCTCGAACCAATATGGATCGGTCGCGGGTGGGTCGCGGGTGGGTCGCGAGTGGGTCGCGTGGTGGGTCGCGGGTGGGTCGTAAGGTCGCGGGTGGGCCGCGAGTGGGTCGCGTGGTGGGTCGCGGGTGGGTCGCTAGGTCGCAGGTGGGTCGCGGATGGGTCGCGGGATGGGTCGCGGGTGGGTCGCGGGGTGGGTCGCAGATGGGTCGCGGGTGGGTCGCGGGTGGGTCGCGGGGTGGGTCGCGGGTGGGTTGCGGGTTGGATCGCGGGTGGGTCGCGGGGTGGGTCGCGGGGTGGGTCGTGGGGTGGGTCGCGGGGTGGGTCGCGGGTGGGTTTCGGGAAGGACGACGACAGCAAACGACAAACAACAACAACAACAACAACAACAACAACAACAACAACAACAACAACAACAACAACAACAAATACTAGCACGTGGGGACACACCGTTCTCACCAGTGCCAGGGTTTTCATAGGAGGCGGGCAATACCCCCACTTTGTGGGGGGGCCGGTTCAAGCTCTACCAAATTTCCAAACGACTCTTCGCCACCACCCACACCCAGCTTCCCGCCCTATGACGTTCGGACACTTCACTTCGTGGCATGCGGACGACCGTGGCTACTATTCAGGGCCCCGCGGCCGACGACGACGGCGTGCGCGCGCGAAGAAAAAACGAATGTGTCCCGCATGGTATTATTTGACAGGGATGATGGCCCTGGCAGGTGCGCAACCGTTGTTGCAGAAGTTCGAAAAAGTTGCTCGCAAAAGCCCGTTTGACAGAAATGATTAAAAAGTGTTGGGTTTCCTACGAATCCGCAAGAGCGCGCGGGATGAAATTTTGACATTTTTTTTGAAAAACCATTGGTTTTTTGATGTTTTTATGTTAAAATCGCTACGAAAACTAAGGTTTTGGAAGGATTTCGTCTTGCGCGCGCGAATGTCCACTTTACCTTATTTTTTGCAAGGGATTCTTGAAGTTTGGTTATGTTAGAACAAGAAATGTCCACTTTAGCTTATTTTTTGCAAGGGAAAACCGATCGTAACAACACAACCGGATCCGGACTCCCCCGTTTTGCCTGAGACTTCCTCACGAAAATGATGAAAATGAGGCTGCGGCCTAGGCGCGGCGGGGGGGTCGTGCACCAGGGGTCCCAACAATAATTATTCTCAAGAAGAAATAATGTTCAACAACAACAACAACAACAACAACAACAACAACAACAACAACAACAACAACAACAACGCAACCAGCAGACCACCACGGATCCTCACTTCAGCTACGCACCCAGGGACAATGAATGACCGTTCGGCCCCCATCACTCTGACAATTACCACCACTCGTACCACCACACCACTGTTACTTCCACTGAAACGCCTACGCCTACTACGACGACGGCGGCGGCGACGACAATGACGACTACGACGACTACGGCAACGATTACTACTATTACAACTACTGCTACTACTACTACTACCACTACGACTACTACTACTACTACTACTACTACTACTACTACTACTACTACTACTACTACTACTACGACTACTACTACTACTACTACTACTACTACTACTACTACTACTACTACTACTACTACTACTACTACGACTACTACTACTACTGCTACTCCTACT